TTTCGTTTTGTTAATCTGTTAATTAGGCTATATAAGTCAAATATTTCGCAAATTCATTATAATACTATGATTTAATAAAAACAAATGTTGTTATTTTTAGTAACTTAATTTTGCTTGTCTGCGCTGCGCTCGTCCGCCGTATTTTTTCTCTTCTCCGACCCCGCAGCTCTCTCCGATAGCTTATGCCGAGTTCACACTGCACGATTTTCAAACTCGTCGGATCGCCGTTGTTTTCACACTGCGTGACTATCTGGGGTAGCATTCAGTTGCTGCTGTGTTCACATTGCACGATGGATCGGCGACAGGGGGTTTCACATTGCATGACTTCACAATAGGAAGAATCGCCGACAGCTCTGTCTGGTCCGCAAACTACGTTTCACAACAAAACACGCGAGAAGGGATAAGGAAATAACGCAAGAAGACCGGAATTTTCGAGCAAGACTGGAATTATTTAAAAAATATATATATAGCCCGCAAATTGTCTGTGAGCTGATTTCCAGCTACAAGGAGAAAAAGAAAAACAGATTATGCAGGAGGGAGATGCAGGGAACAGGGATTGGGTGTTCTGCAAAGAGAGTTGGAGGTAAATAATTTAGCAGTAACTGTTATGCTGATGTTGTGGCTGATCAAGCAAATGTTTGTGCTTGTTTCTGTATGATATAATTGTTCATATATCTATTAAAATACTGATATTCTGGTCTATAACTCCTCCCCGAACTTCCATCTGCCCGGTATCTTGTCTCTCATTGGCTGTAGGTCATCGCCCATGTGTTTTTCAGTCAGAACTCATTTCACACAGCGTGATTGTGAATCGCCGACAGCTCCAGATATTTAGCATGCCAAAAATTTTGCGGGCGTCTGCGACGTGTCGGTGATTCCCTCAGATCGCGTCTTTGATAATTCACACTGCGTGATTGTCACTCGCGTGAACGAGCACCGATTTGCCTCCGATGTCAGGCATTTGCGTCGGCGATTCCCTCAGATCACGTCTTTGATAATTAACACTGCGTGATTGCCACTCGCGTGAACGAGCACCGATTTGCCTCCGATTTTGGGCATTTGTCGGCGATTTCGCAAAACCCGTCGGCGAGTGAAAAATCGGGCTAAAATCGTGCAGTGTGAACTCGGCATTAGTGTAAACTAATAAAAATTCCTAAAACTTAAATAGAAATAAATGAAAGCTAAAAATAATAATAATAATAAATAAATAAATCACAAAACAAAATTTTATTTAAAAATTAAACTTGAATTAAAATAAAAAACTGATTAAATAGTAAATTGAAATATTAAAAACAAAAACAAAATCACATATCAAACTGTAGTTTAAAACTCAAACGAAGACTGATTAACTAGCTACAATTACTAAAGCTGATATAAAAATTAATTAAAGATAAATAGAAATATTTAAAAAAAAATCACATAAGAAAAATGGAATTTAAAACTTAAATTAGCATCTCAGCTTGTCTTACAGACATTTCTTGCTGGATGAAGGACCATCACCTTCAACTCAACCTTGCCAAGACAGAACTGCTTGTGGTTCCATCAAACCCATCGTTTCATCACAATTTCACCATCCAGTTAGGTACAATCAACCATAACTCCTTCAAAAACAGCCAGAAACCTTTGAGTTATGATTGATGATCAGCTGACTTTCTCAGACCACATTGCTAAAACTGCCAAAACGCGGCAGCAAGGTTAATCTTTAATAAGCTGAAAAGAATGCACGTCACACCTCTGTTTATCAATTTGCACTGGCTACAAATTTGAAAAGCAAATAAAAAGAAAAAAATCAAGGATGGACTGAAGCTTTTAATAATGCCACCACAGGCTTTAATTTAAAAGGGCCATACTCGTAATACAGTAAGCAAAGAGTGACCGTAAGCTTTGAAAATGCAATTTTATACTGCTAAGTAGGGGTGTAACAGTACACAAACAGACGTTTCGGTATGTACCTCGGTTTTGGCGTCACAGTTCGGTATGGTTTCAGTACAGCAAGAGGAAAAAAACTAAACTTTTTTTAAAAATATATATTAAACAATGGTTTACTGAACAAATTGCTTTTTAATTCAATTAAATTACAATTTTCTTAGGGATAAAAATCTACCTCAGCTTCTGCTCTTAAAGGGTTAGTTCACCCAAAAATGAAAATTAGCCCACAAATTACTCAGCCTCAAGTCATCCTAGGTGTATATGACTTTCTTCTTTCAGACGAATCCAGTCGGAGTTATATTAAAAATTGTCTTTGATCTTTCAAGCTGTTTAATGATGATGTATGAGTTCAGCGTTGCGCATGCGCCAGTGAGTCTCGTGAAAACCAACGTTTGTTAAACTTTTTTTTATGGATGGGCGCTTTTTATTTAACTTCTTTTGGACTGATGCATGCAACACCCGCCGAGTGGCATTAAACAGCTTGAAAGATCAAAGACCATTTTTAATATAACTCCAATTGGATTCATCTGAAAGAAGAAAGTCATATACACCTAGGATGACTTGAGGAGTTTGTGGGCTAATTTTCATTTTTGGGTGAACTAACCCTTTAACTATAGGGAGCACTTTTACATTACTATAAGGTTACAATTAACAACAGAGCCCAAAATTCAATTACTATTTATTTTTAACTAATCAACACTCAAATTAAAAATTTGTATGCAAACAAATTGCACATAATGCCGTTTTTAAATTAACTTCTAAATTATACAATTTCTAGTTGTTGTTGAAATACAATCATTTACACAGTGGCTGCCATAACTTGATTCATAAAAGATTGTTTTAAACATACATTAAATAATCAAGACATCACTAACAGGTAAAGTAAAATATAATGAAGTATAATATTTCTCAAAAATCTTATTTGTCTTCTGAGTTCCATTATGTAAGTATTTTTATGACTATTTTCCACCCTCTCACTGGCCCTTAGAATTAAACATCTCATTATATATATCCTGTGTCTTCAATATTTAGGGCCTAAACAACATTTTGCATGTAAAAATGAACAAACTGTAATGTAGATTTACTGTTGTGACAGATTCATAAAACAGTCTGCACTGAAGTGCACCTTAAACAATATGAAAATAAGACTGACATGAACATACCTTATTAAAAATAAACTTCACCCACAGAGCAAGGAACAGCACACGGTTTGACAGATTTTCTCAATTGTAGTTTTATCATCAGCTCACATGGTGTTAAAATAATATGTATTTGTCTGACAAAATGTGTACTTTTGTCAGGAAGGACATATGAATTCTTTTCAACATTAATAATAATAATACTAAATGTTTCCTGAGCAGCAAATCATC